TTAAAAAATATTAATTACATTTTTAAAATTATAAAAAAATGTAGTTATTTAAGTTTATATTTCTTCATAATTAATAATTATAATAAATTATTATTTAAGAATATACAAATTGTAATAAATAAATAAAAAATAAAATTAATCACTCCAACTTTTCTTTATATTAGGAGATAAATCGAAACTTTTAATTTGTCAAGTTTACTTTAATTAAATATTAACTTGGTTCTTAAAATTTATTTTTTATCAATTTAATCTCTTATATTTTATTAAATTATTATATTAGTTATTTAAATTTTAAAACACAAACTAATTTAATATGCAAAGTATAGTAATGATTGAATATATATGTATATATAGGGAGAAATTAGCTCTTAAAATAAATTTAATTTTTATCGAATTTTCTGGGATGCCAATAATCGAACTCCTGACAAGCAGTTTACAAGAACATATACAGCAATTTTTATCAATTTTCTCATTTACGCTATGTTTTGCTTTTTTATTTTTTAAAATTGTTGAGTCTGTTTTCTTCCAATCTAAATAATTATATTTTTTTTATTAGCCTATATGGTTTTTTTACCATCTGTTAATCTATATAGTCATCATTAATATTTTATTAATTATATCAACAGATTTTTAATAGTGTTATATCCTCTTCAAACAATAAGAATCAAATCCATAATTGATACAAACTTAAAAGGTCAGACTAATAAAAAATAAAAGGTCAATGAGCATATTAAACCTTAAACTATTGCATGAATAACATTTTCACAAAAAATTCCTTCAATTTTTAAATTCTAAGCGTCTAAAATCCTACCATTAAGTTGGAGAAAACAATGTTTTTAAAACCGGATGGATATTGAACTAGAAAGGTTAGTAGTTTATGGTTTACATAGTTCAATCAAGTTGGACTAATGGTCGAATCGGTGACGTAATAATTAAATTAAAAAATTTATGCATATATAATAATTTAATTATAAAAAATAAATATGAAATTGCTATTTAAGTTAAAAATAAAACTAAAATTTTAAGTTTATCATGACTTAGCAAACCACATGATATAACATAATATCAAATGATTAAAAAAATTGGTCATTTTTTTGAAAAATGATAAATTTTTTTAAAAAAGAAAAATGATATTTGAACAGTCCAATTTTTAAAAATCAAATCTGGTTCCCAATTTGATAGTCGGTCCAAAGCAGTTCAATATGGCTCAACTCCCCAAATAATTTTTTTGGGTCAACCGACCCATTAGCTTGACCAGTCTATGGTTCGACCGTTTGGTTTGATCCAGTTTTTTCATTATTGGGAGAAAATGACCATTATTTTTAAGGGTCAAGATAAGCATCACATTAACATATTATTGGGCCTCATAATTATAAAAGTAACGGCCATTTTCTTTAATTTAACGGTGAGATTTTAGGAGTTTAAAATTTAAGAATTGAGAGAAATTTTTATATATTTCATGAGTTCAAAGTACAGGATATTGTTTGTGCAATAGTTGAGAGTTGAGAATTCTTATTAATCCAAAAATAAATATAAGAGACTAAATCACTAATGAAGATAAACTTGAAGCAAGGAATAAAAGTTTTACTATTCTTATTAGTTAAGAGAAAAAAATCTAAATTTTTCCTTAAAATTAAGGATAGTGTTTTGCCTTTTCCTCCTCACTTCCTCATTATATTTCTTATTTTCATTTATTTCTCATTTTATAAAGAAATCATCACCTCGTTTAAAATTAATTGGAAGAAGATGGACGAAGCTCCGAGTATGCTGCGAATCCTTCAAGGAGTTTTTTTATATATATTAACATTAATTATATATGATCTTGATTTACTCTCTGTTTGATATATAAAATAAGATTATGAATAAAATATCTATTTAAAAAAATTAATATCAATATATTATTTATAAAAGTGTTTATTTGCATTTGAAACTTTGATTTTTTTTAAAAAAAGTCATAATATCAGTACAAGCATATGAAATTAAGTTTACTTTGTCGGAATAATGATATTATTAATATTAATATATCCCTGCATCTGCTATATGACAAAGAGGAGACTTTTATAGTTGTTTACTTTTTGACAACGTAACTATATCTTATTGAAAATTTTATTGATTAAACCTTAATAATTTAGATTTAATAGCAGAATGATGTATATTTCTCTAGTGATTTTGTTAGTAGTGTGAACAATGAAGACATAACTTTATCCAATAATTCTTCAAAAAAAAAGTCATAATAGCAATAATTAAAAACTAGTGCATTCCTCCAAAAAAAAAACCTAGTGCATTATTACATGTTAAGTTGTACTATGTCTTTACATATATTTTCATTTCATAAAATTTTTTAAGATCAAAATTTATCATCTTATTGTCGAAATTATTATGGCCTCCACTAATTAACAAGAAAGTTTTCAGTGTTTGGCAAAGTTAGGATAAATCAACCGAAAAGTTGGCATCTATTTGTGATTATTGATTACCTAACCATTGATTTTGAAGAATTAGACATTCGCATCGTTTTTCCACAAACCCGTCAAAAAGTAGGCATAGTCGAATCTACCCATATACTCTCCTTGTCCTCGAGAGTTTTATGATCCGAAATTTATTGATTTAATATATGTTTTTTGTCTGCCAATTCAAACTTGTAACCTGCAGGTTAAGTATGCAGCACACTAACCAACAAGTTACAAGTTTTCATAGTGATTTAATATTTTTTTTAATCTTATAATATTTATTATCGAAGGAAAAATAAAACCAATATAATTTATAGACAATTTTAATAGCATAACTAATTCTTCTAGGTTACAGCAGAATTAGAGTCTATTTGAAATTATTTTTATTTTATAATTTTGAGAATTGGTATTTTATAAAACATATTTTGAGAACAAAAAAATAAAAATTAATGTTTTTCTCATTGTCCCTTATTTATCAAAACAATAATTTTAGAATACCTAAATGATGTTTTTATTTTTCTATTCTCTATAACAACATTTTTTTTAAAATACTTTTTAAAAACGCATTACTAAACATATTTTCTTATTTTTTTTATTCTGGAGAATAGATAATTATTCTTAGAACAGATTAACAAACAGACTTTAGTGATTTAATTAATAGTGATTGGTAATAAAGATTAAAGAGAGTATGTTAATAGGATTAAAAGGCATTCATCATTATTTCATTTTCAATTGATTTTTTTAAAAAAAGTTTAAATGAGTTGAGTCCTAAGGGCTCACCAAAAACATAGTATATCTCTAGGCTCAAATAATAATTATAGATATACTTATAGATTGTTTATCAATAAAATTTTCATATTAATAATAAAATTTGATCTCATAATTTTACGAGTCATAAATTAAATCATTATTAACTCGATCAACTATTAAATCATTATTAACTCGATCAACTATTGTTGTCTTTATAGAACATTATTGTTGGGGGGGGGGGGAATGCTGTTTTGGTGCTTTGGGACATGCAAACGTGTTTAAATTTTAAAATAATCGGTTTACAGTTGAGCAGGCAATAATTTTTTTCTGCCATGTGATTAGCTGACTCTTACTCTCACTTGGTCAAACAAAAGGGCCCTGTTTTATTTCATAGCGGTAAATTTGGTCCAATGATTAGATTAAAACGTTCCATGTCAAGAGAGAAAATCAACGTCATACATGAAAATAAAATGCAGGAAAAAAAAATTGAGGAGCTTACAACATTAATGGTTTGTACTTTGCACATCTTGATGAAAAAAAATAAAAAAAAAAGCTAGTAGAATGCCATCTCCAATTGGGCATGACAAAAAATCTGGATTTATTGATAATTTTTTGTCAAGTAATTTAAATAGAAAAAAGAGTGAGGAGATATGTTAAATTATATATACTTTTTTAACCAATACCAATTAAAATTATAGTATGAAAACTCAACCACGGTTAGCAGTCAAATTAAACTGATAAACCAATCCCTTGATCAGCCCAGTCAAGAGTTTTATGGAAGGGTCGACTGAATGAGATTTTATATTCTCTCTCTTCATTGAGTTAAAATTTCATTGTTTTGATTTATATTATATTTTATTGATCCCCTTTTTGTAAAAATTTGTATGATTTATATATAAATATTCCATTTTATATATACATGTGTGCGCACGCACTTTTTTTATTACTTTTTTTAATCACAATATAAAGTATTGATAATTAATTTATAATTTTAAAAAAATATTAATTAAAATCTTAATTTCTTAAAAAATTATATTTTCAATTATACATTCATTAAATATCATATATAAGTATTTTGATAAGAACAATTGAAATTTCAATGCATCATTTTTTAAAAAAAAAATAATAAATGAAATGTGTATATACTTGTTAAAAAAAATTATAAAAGTTGCCCAATACTCTATATTTTAGATCAAGTAAGGTTTTTCAAAAATGCTTTATATTGGGTTTTGAATGGAGTAAAATATTATTCTTTTCCAAGTTATATATACATATTTTTTTGTATATTTTAATTAAATTAAATTATGTTAATCATGATTGGGTTGATCTTAGTTCAACAATAATAATTAGATGACGAAGCCTTCAACCACTATCTTAAATTTATCCAGTTTTGCGTATATCGATGAAATCAAAAGCCAATAAGCTTGGGGTACGGTACCTAGATAATGCAATGTGCTTGTGTCCATACAAGAATACTAGTGGTGGATGTGGGGACTAAATTTTGGTGTCAATGTGGAGGTGGCCCAGGAAGAGAGGCAATGACAGTTGAGTGTGTGATTTGAGGTAGAGGAAAATAAGGAGAGTTCGCGAGAGACCGAAAGGGACCAAACTAATGGAGGTCTCACTTCCCTTGGGAGTACTTCTTAGGGACACAGATAACATGTCGCCTTCTGTGTCCTTTAATGTTTGTCAATTATCCCTTTTCTTCACCACCATATAAATATTCTAGATATATATACATATATATATATATTTCCTCCCTTATCTTCTTCATCCTTTATTTTATCAGGACATGGACCCAAATTTAAGCGTGGAAGAACCTGCATCCTCGTAAAAGAATAATAATTTAACCACGTACATACAAAACAAGGTGGCCCAGAGGGAGCCCATTCAAAATTGTACTACCTACTTAGTATTCTCCTTTAATCTACCCCACTGGTACGCTGTTATTATTATTATTGTGACCGTGGCCGTGGGTGTCATTTCCATCAGCAAACATGGCGTTTTTAGGCCCGCACACCCGAACGCACGACAGTGCCTCGTTGAAATGCTTCGCTTTTGTGCCCAGGTACTCGTGCCATGTCACCGGCCGGTACAGCGGAGGCCTGCTCGGGCCCACCACCTTTGGATGTGGCGATATCTTCACTCCCGCCGGGGGTCCATACAGGTACGCCGCAGATAGTCTCTGCTGGGTCCGGTTCACCAGAACCCGGTGCAACACGCTCGGGTAAAGCCCGTTCGACAGAATGTGGAGCAGGTCGCCTATGTTGATCACGAGCCCGCCCGGGAGCGGCGGGACGGTGACCCACCCGGTCCCTTCCTTTAGAACCTGCAGACCACTGATGGCGTTTTGGTATAGGATGGTGAGGATGGTGGAGTCGGTGTGGGCAGCGAGACCCATGGCCCGATCTGGGTCCGGACAAGTCGGATAGGAGTTGAGTTGGAGAGCAGCACAGGCCCCTTGCAATCCTCCGTCTCTTGGGCCAGCCCATTGGATGTCTTGGTTTGATATGCCCAAGGAAGCCAGGACGAGCCATGTTAGCTTTTCCGCTAGCTTTTTCATTGCTTCTTCGTACTCCACGACAACATCGCTGTGGACAAAAGGACAAAAGACCACCCCAATGGCAGTGTTAGAAAAATCAAAACCGTACTGTTGCATGATAGGAACTTGGAAGGACATCCGAACAAAGCTACACAGCAAACGCAAGAAGCAAGTGGATTTTGGGGCATATGTGTAGAAGCGGGCCCCACCTGCCATCACCTTGCAAAATTTGTAATCTTTGCTAAATTCTGCATTTAAGATAAGTAAAGCCTTATATGTATATATTTGACCCCCACATAGTACCATATCCGCATATATATGAGGAGCCGTCTCCCTCGTACTTTCCCTCCCATGATATTTTCACTCTCTGGCCCAAAATTCTTGTGAGTTGTCAATTATGGTTCTTCTTAATTTGTTTTACGACAAGTTCCCAGAGATAATTAATTACCAGTATTTGGTATAATCAAGTGGCCAGAGTTGGCGGAAGTGGTCGAGAGGGGAACCGACAATAGTGAAACCTTCGGACCACATGAGCTTGGGGAAGAAGGAGGCGATGCGAGCGAGGCCGTAACCTGAGACGCCGTCGGGGGAGCGAGCCGCCTTGAGTTTCTGGTGAGTAGGGAGGGAGAAGAGGGACTTGCCGGCGGACTCAATGTCTTGAAGAAGACTGGCTGGGATGCCGTGGTTGACGACCTGGAACACACCCCAGGTCTTGCATGCATGGCCTACGAGCGAAGTAGCATTGGGGTCATGGAGATCAATCACTGGCGGGACGCCGTCGTCGGATGCGGCATCGGCGGCGAGGTTGTTATCGTCGAGATGAGTCCATGCGTAGGAGTCGGGAAGCTCTTGAAGGGAGTGGAAGTCAGGGTTCTTGTGGTGAAGGTGGACTGGGTGAGCTCTGAAAGCTTCAGAGAGAGAAGGCATAATGATGGATTGGATAATGAACAGAGAATCAGTTTAGTTAATTAGAGATACAGGAGATTTAGTAGGTTTCTGGTGGTGATAAATAGTAGTACTTGCAAAGAAAACTGAGAGAAAGAGAGAGAGATGAAAGATGATGAGGCGAGAAAATATGATTGTGCCTGGTGAGTATAAATAGAGATGATGGGGTAGATGGCGACGACCTTGCCCTTGCCCTGCCCTACCAATACAGAGGAGAGAGTGGCGGAGAGAGAGTGTGTTTTATTTTATTATTCACTTTTTGTTATTAATTTTTTATGCTGGTAAGGGGTGAGTGGAGGAGGAGTTCTGCCAGGAAGAAGACAAGAAATGAAAGAGAAAGCAAGAGATTAATTATGAAAAACCATAATAAAAATTATTTTAACTTTTTTTCCTCATGCACGTTATATTTTTTATTAGAGGTAACCATGATCAAATCACAGTTGACATTAAACGAGACGTCTTTCTCAGTAAGAATTGAAACCTCATCATGTTTGTGATATATTTATCCTTAGACTACTCAATTCCTGTTTTGATAATTAAGGTTAATTTTAAAAATACAAATATTTCCCTTTGAATGTGATCTCTCTTTCGAAAATGGAACTTTTAATAACATCATATGTAGTGGAGGAAAAAATATATTTCCTCAAATTATTATGCTACTTTACACAACGGGCCGTCTTTATTTCCTGTCAAGAGGATATAAAAAAAAAAAAAAAAATATATATATATATATATATATATATATATATCTGTGTGTGTAGTGAAACTCTATATTAGTATTACTACTTTTGATATTTGATAAGGTACGTACGGTCTGATTAAACGTGAATCGTTAACGACAGAAACTTGATGGGAGATTAAGAGGGAGGGGTAGCATGGATCATGGATGCATGGTAATTGCAGGAGCTAAAAGACGATTTTGTCCCCAACAATATTAATATGTACTTGGATTGAGAGGGAGGGTCCATCACGGATGAACATGTGCCTTTGTCTTGTCTCGGAGCCTGGAAAAACATTCGGCAAAACTAATTAGCAGTTCCAACATATATGGTCTTTAATAATCTCTCTCTCTCTCTCTCTCTCTCTCTCTCTTAAGACAAGAATATAATTTCGATTTTCTTCTCAAGGATTATCATGCGTTACAAGACAAAAGCACATTGATTGAGATGATCTCGATCAACCCATGTTGAAGAAGAATTGCTTGATTTTTATAGTTCATTCGGTACTTTCAGCACCTAAACTATAGACAAGGATGGGAAAATAACACTGGGGAATGCTTGCTTTTTTTTTTTTAATCAAAAAGTTTACATCAGTAGAAAGATTTGAACTTATCACAATCTTCTTACCAGTTGAGCCAACTATTATTGGTTGGAGAATGCTTGTTTTTGAACTTTGTGTATGTGTTCATTTACATGAAAATTGGTAAAGTTTCTTTTGGTTTCTAGTGAATTGGGTTTTTGGTTTTCAAATTAATGTCATGTATGCCTCATGTGGGGCTGTCTTATCTTTCTCTTTGATTTTTACCCTTGTGTTCTGTGTGAGTTAATTGTCAAACATTGTATATGCCTGGCCCCTCCCTTTTTGGTTTCACATGAATATCTAGCTAATATATATAGCTATCTCAATCATTTGATAATTAATTAATTAATATCTGGCTAAATTGGGTAGAATGCACTTGATTTGATGTATTTTACTTATGAATATAGTTATGATTACTTTACTTTTTTTTTTTCATTTCAGAATCGATGATGTGCCCCACTAAATGGTTTTAGTTAACACTTAAAACATTTTCTTTCCAAGCTTTTTTTTTTTTTTTTTGGTCTCCATCAAACAAGAGTTACACGCTAGCAACATGCTCCAATTTCTTTTCTCATTAGGACTGAAACGACCGGAAAGAATAAATGGAAGAGTAGCAGAAGGATACACATATTAGTTAATTTAAAATTTCAAAACTCAAATTTATAGGTTATCAGTTGTTATGCTTTCCATGCAATATGTGACTTAATTTTTATATCAACTCAAATTTATTTATACTTAAACAATAATCTAACTCCTTTTTCTAAGGCTAAACCATTTAAAATTTTCAAAATTTACATTAATGATGCAGTGTATATCTCAAACTCCGTGTAATGTACAAAAGAGAAAGCACGAGTCATCTAATTGTTTTATTATAGAGAGAACATTACAGTAAAGTGCTAAAGAAAGGGAATTAACATTTACGCACGTCCTGGAAAAATGTTTTGAAAAATAAATTACAAATATTATTGATTCATCAGTTGCAAACAAAAATCTCATTTGCAAATTGAGAATTATATTTAAAATTTAAATTAAATGTCTTATTTGCAACTTTTTTTAAGTAAATTTTACCATGCACCCAAATGTTATTAATTTTCTTTTTGAGACTTAATTGTGACTCTCCCTTTATTATACCTATCATTGAGTTTCCTCAATACAACAAAATTGAACATACTTTATGGTTATTTTTTCTTATACATGACGGTTAACAACTATTATATATACTTCCGTCATTTATTGGGTTCATATTTTTTCCTATATTTAATGGTTGTTGAAAACCATCAATATATATATATATATATATATATCACCAAAATTGCTTATGATACAAATATGCAAGAGCATATTTGATGGTTATGTGTAATAAAGCCATCAATTTTGGCTGCAAAATGATTTATAATTAAAAAGTTTTTTTTTTGGTATTTTGCCTACTTTTCATGTTGAATTTATCCCTCTATAATAATCTAACCTAATTCAATCCTACTTAATCACAATAATAGTCAAATTCACCATAACAAAGTTTAGAAAAGCATTTACATATTGCAAGAACTACAAGAAAATATGTTTAGATTTGGAGATGGACAACACAATGCCAAGTACGTATACTCCAATTGACTATAATGTGGACAATGAATAAATGAATGTTCTCTCTACTAGGAAGTTACAAGTTACCAGCAATCTTTTTTTGTTTAAAAAAAAAAAAGGTAAATGATACTTGTATATATTTACATATATATAATTATCAACTAAACATGGAAAAACACGGGGGATGACAAACTCAGCACAAAAAATGGTTTTCAAGTGACTATGGACCAGAACACGTTTATGGGTATCAATTAGAAATCAATCAAGCAAGAAAAAACTTATGAGTATCAATCAGAAATGCCAACAGTCATCAATTCCAAACCCAGACCCATTTGAACAAAAATGAGAATCTACAGAAAGCTTAAACACACCTGGGTCTACTAAACATATATGAAGCAAATTAAATCAATATTCTCGAAGATGAAATTGGGAATGCCGTTGAGAGAGTCTGAAAAGCACATTCTCAATATCTGTAAATCCCCCTAAGTTCTCGATGGCAAGGGTCAAATGAATGGGGATCTCTCGGGCACGACGAAATTGTAGAGAGAGTTGTGGGAAGAAGAAATTTCAAGGGTTCGAAGGTTCGAATGAAGACGAATTTCGGAGAGTTGGGGACCAATTTCATAGAGTAAGTGAGTTTTGTGCTCCAAGCAATGTCTCTAAAAAGGTAGCAGAGCAATTTAAAAAACTATAAGCTTGACAGTTTTTTGTCTAACCGTCAAACTTAGTGACTATGTTTCACAGTTAGACAAATAACCATCAAACTTATAGTTTTATTCATTTGAGGGTTAATGCAATCAACTGTCAAACTTATAATGACAATTTTCTGTAAAAATGAAAACTTAATTTATCTGACTGTAAGTTTAATGGTTTCAAAAATAACTGTTCAATATTTTGATAACTTTATTTAACAGTTAGGCTTTAAACGTCAAATATGCACTTCTAAATTTTTTGTTCCGCCTTATAAATTCTGCCAATTGCCTTATAGTCTAGTGGTATGAGTACTCTCCTATAAGTGAGAGGTTGCGAGTTTGATCCTGTTTGTAATCTCAGATCATTAATGCCTGCTCCTTTAATTCAAATATGTGTGTGTATTGCAAATTCTATAGTAGTGTCTTCACAATTAATATTATTATTGCAGATCCTGCCAAACCAAAAAAGAAATTATATTGCAGAAACCTCTCATCTACTATCTATTTTTTGTCAATAATGTTAGTTTTTAATCAAGCGTATAATATTTATTGAGCCTATTAATAAAGTAGACGTTTTTTAAATACGAAAATCACATTCACTATTACTCAATGATCAATATAACATTAATTGACTGTAAAATTATATTAAAAGAATTGTTTCACACCACTTTCAATTGTTTTTTGTCCAATCTTTAAATTGTAGTGTGTGTGTGTAGATGATCGAAATTAAATTCAAATCCTTTTTAATGTGGAAAAAATGGAAAACAATTGATTAATTAATTGTTTAAAAGTAAGTACAATCAATATTATGATAGGGGGAGTGGATTCTCTTTGAAGTTGAAAATTCGTGAATTTCATGAAGTTTGCTTTTTCAATGAAAGATAAAAAATTTGATGTTTTATAAAAATTAATATATTAACAAAAATACTAAGAAAAAGATAAATTTCACAAAAAAGTCATTGATCTCAACTTACTTTAAAAGATTTATTTTCTTATATTTTTTCTGTCTCAATTTATAAGACACTTTTAAAAAAATTATATTTTAAAATATAAAACATTTTAATAAAAATAAAATTTTATTAATAATATTATTTCAAGATTATCCTTCCCACTATATTCTCTCACTTTAATTGTATATGTTGCATTCAAATGTTGTAATAATAATAAAGCTGAGGATTCTATGGAACAGTAACAAACACTAAACAGTGATGGCCCTCTGGTTGTGGGTGAGTCTAAGATGTGAGGTAACAAGAACATGATCATGGGACATATGGGCTTTAATTTGTGTGTGTCCACACACAACACACAACACTACAAGTCTACAACACAACTCATGTTCATATCCTCATTGCTGTCACTCCCCCACGCACATGTCCTTCACGTGGCTCCAACATGGGCAGGTCGGCTCCATTTCCTCTTTTCCTTTTCTCTTCCTTTATTTTATTTTTCACTCCATATATATTTCTTTATTTCTATAATTAATTCAAACCTCTTTTATGTGGTAATCCCATCTATATATATATATATATAATATTTG